ATCATTTTAAAGTTTGTGTTGACAAATTTTCCAGGCTTAGTGAGATGTTCTGAATATAAAAGAAAGAAGCTAAGATTCTTTATAACAAATATGTGGTAGAATGAATAATTTTAAAAGGAAACTTGACTGTGTTCCACATTGCACAGCATCACCATATTTACAGAGAATTTAAATGTTCCACATTTCTTAAAATCTGCTGCTCCCCTCTCTGACATTGGTCTCTTCTTACCGGAATCTGTCTTTCAGGAGGAGGATTTTTTTCAGGAACCACTGTTTCAACGCAAGTAATCTTCTCAACATCTATTGAACCCTTCTTACTGCCTCTTCTCTGCGAAATAGAATGAGGAAGAAAATGGAGAAAGATTAAGAGGGATTAAGCAACCAGATGATTAGATTTTGTTATCTAATCATTCAACGTAGTGAGGTAGCACGCACAGGCTACATCAGGACCTGTCATTCAGTGGTGGGGAGGAAAACTTTCCAGATCTATAAATCTAGTCTTTGACTACCAAATGGAGGGCAAATACTACAGAAGAGTAAATGACTTTAGGTGCCTTCTTCCTAGGAAATAAGGAAGCAATTTCCAGCTCTTCCATTTCACTCTCAACAATCATTTAATGAGTACTCATTAATTGCAAGATTCCATGGTAACATTTTCCTTGTGGCTTCTTAGGACCTTTGACTTTCTGACTTTAGCTAGTTATAGACTAGGAAAAATTTTGCTGAATTTGAAGGGACTTAGGTCCATTATACCCCCCTCCTCCTACCAAGGAGAATTTACCTCTTCCCCTAGGAATTTCTAAGTCCAAGTCCTTGAAATCTTGAAACTCAGGTTTCATAGTCGAGAAACTTACCCCACGTTCAAAGTCATACTCATAGTAGGAGAGTTTGTGCACGGTCAAGAGAAACAGGCGCTTCTTGAAGTTTAGAGGTGATGTCTTCTTTTTCTGCTGGGATCGCTTCAGAAAGATGCTCTCCAGAATCACTGCTGCCATAGCTTCTTTCTGGAACTCACCTGTGTGCTTTTGATAATGAAAGTTCCTGAGGATCCAGGACATTAATCCTCATCCCTCTTGGTTCCCCCTCAGCCTAGCTACCTAGTTTCAAATGGAACAAAAATGTGCACAGTTAACAAAATAATTTCTTCCTACCACCCTCCTCCCACAGCCCCCACCTCTGTCAGGTTTCAGATATAATGGATGCACACTGAATTGGGGGGATTGGTTTGATATTGTGAGCTCATATAAACTGGGTTCTTGAAAAAGGCAATGGAATGCTCTAAATGTTAAATGGCACATACCTGTGTGCTTGGTAAGGTGTAGAGGTAGCTTTACACTATTCACCTTTATAAGATATATGTAGAATCTGTGAAAAGCAAAAGTATCTGTGCAGCTGTTGATCTTGATATCCCCAGAAGGGATAATGCAGGTGCCAGAAGTCCACTGAGGCAGATATTGAACTTTCAGTTCCCAATTTCCTAGATAGCGAATGTAATTTTTCAAACATTGTCCCATTGGGGTCTGCAACCAAGGGGACTAATAAGGATATGGAGGCTGCACCTGCAGTTATGGACACACACTAACTGCCGTCCAACTGATTTTGCCCACACTCACTGACTGAGCTACAAAGGATAGAAGCTTTGTTCTAAAATTGAAAACATAATTTTTTTGGTGGGGAGGTAGTTGTTGTTTTCTGGCATTTTCCCCATATAGCTTAAATAAGTTCTTTTAGACAGCATCATGCAAAAGTAATGCAACTGTCTTTCTGATATAGATGCCACCTCTGTTCATTTATGAAATGCAATTTATTTAGCCTCCCCAAACCTACAATATTCCAGAAGGATTCAGTTTAGGTAACCGAAATACAGAAAGGCAAATAAAGTCCCAGAAAGTCACCATTGGCTTTTTTATTCACACCAAGCAACACTTCATATCAGTTATTCACTTACAGTTTATGCACAGTGTTATATTATTACTAATTCTGAACTTTCATTGGAAAGATAAAGTGAAAATAAATGCTGTTATAAAAATAGAACATTAGGCCGGGTGCCATGGCTCACGCCTGTAATCCCACCACTTTGGGAGGCTCAGGCGGGCAGATCACCTGAGGTCAGGAGTTCGAGACCAGCCTGGCCAACATGGTGAAACCTTGTCTCTGCTGAAAATAAAAAAATTAGCTGGGCGTAGTGGCGGGTGCCTGTAATCTCAGCTATTTGGGAGGCTGAGGCAGGAGAACTGCTTGAACCCGGGAGGTGGAGGTTGTAGTGAGCCAAGATTGTGCCATTGTACTCCAGCCTGGGCAACTAGAGTGAAACTCTGTCTCAAAACAAAACAAAACAAAAAAACCATGAAGTAAGTAATGAAAAGTCACCAGTCCTCCACTCAAGTTTTCTTAGAGGTAGGGGTTTTTCCTATGGGAGGTGGGATCTTTTTTTAAAGTAAACTCCTTCCCCTAAGGCATTTGAGTAAAGAAAAAAAAAGAAAAAGAAGTAAACTCCTTATGCTTTTGGTGACACTATGGAAACAGAATGAATACAGTCAGCAGTTTTTTTGTAGTTTTTAAGTAGATTATTGCTCACAGTAGGAAAGCAAGGGAGTGAATTTTATCAACACCTGGGGGCTATGCACACTGTTATTTTGCTCTTTCCTGTGGTGTAGGAGGTTCTATTCTCATACTGGGGAGACAAAAATAGGTTAAAGGAGCACCAGGGGTGTTCTGGACAATCGTTTTGCCACTTATCTACCATGTGTATGTCACTATCTTCTGGAGGTGGATTAATTTAATATTTTGTAAATTAGATTTTGAGAAAAATTGGGCAAGTGCACAAACCTTTTTCTCCATCCTGCCACATACCCTGACTCCATGGTTTAAATGGTCTCTCACTGGAGTGACAAATTGATGAGTTTACAAACAATCAGTCCTTTCTAACACTCAGTTTTAGCTCCAACCTCAAAGAGGTTCATTTTAACATTACAAGTATGCATTTACTCAGGAGTAGTGGTAACCAAATAATATTATTCTATTCTCAGGAACTACCAACTCATGAGATCCCTGTAATCATACCACATTTGTTCCTGTAGAAAATTATAATTAAGTACCTCTTCACAATCAAAGACTCAAATTACGGGATAAAAAATGAAGCCCTAAACAAATTGAGTACCATGACCAGTAAATGGGGTCAAAAGCATCCCAAGAAACCACTTCTGGTATACTTCTTTTAGCTGAGTAAATCGCAGGCAGCATTTTACCTTTAGTTTTGTTGCAGCCTGTTGGTGGATACATTCCCTGCTTAGACCTACCATCTGTTTCAGTCTTGGCCCCTGCTCTTACTTCCTACAAGACCGGTCCTTATGGAAGCTGCCTCTACTCTTTTTCTGTTTTAGAACAAATCCAGTTTGTACAAGAGGAAGTCTTCCTCTCTCTCAAGTGTCTGTGTTGGGGCATGGTTTAGTGCTGGTCTGACTATGAGGAAGTAAGCAAGCCTCTCACTAGCTATCGCCACTCCGAGCAAAAGGTGAAATGGCCTCCACCTCTAGATCATTGAGCTAGAGATCTACCAGAATTGCCATGATTTGGTATCACCTTCTTTGACTGCTTTTCTCCTATTTCTTGTGATCCAGTCCAGACTCACACACCCTGAAAATGTGGTAGTTCTTCCTTAGGTGCCACTGGTCCATCACCCAATAATGTGAAAGGAAAGGCATCCATCTTTGAGTCCTCCAGAAGGTCAGTGTGTAATGCACAGCTCTGAGTTAAAAAGTAGTTAGGGCCGGGTGCGGTGGCTCAAGCCTGTAATCCCAGCACTTCGGGAGGCAGAGGCGGGCGGATCACCAGGTCAGGAGATCGAGACCATCCTGGCCAACATGGTGAAACCCCGTCTCTATTAAAAATACAAAAATTAGCTGGGTGTGGTGGCATGCGCCAGTAGTCCCAGCTACTCGGGAGGCTGAGGCAGGAGAATGGCTTGAACCCGGGAGGCAGAGGTTGCAGGGAGCCGAGATTGTGCCACTGCACTACAGTCTGGTGCCTGGCAACAGAGCGAGACTCTGTCTCAAAA